TCAGCGCCACAGAAGCTCACTTAAATCACTTACGACAAGTGTTCCAAGTCATGCGCGAAAACAAACTGTACGCGAACTTGAAGAAGTGCATCTTCTGTGCCCCGGAGATTCCGGTGCTTGGCTGTTATGTGAGCAAAAATGGTGTCCGAGCGGATCCTGAGAAGGTCTCGTCCATTTGTGCGTGGCCCACGCCGCAGAATCAGACTGAATTGCGTCAGTGGCTTGGCCTCGCAAATTATCTCCACAAGTACACGAAAAATTATGCTGGTCTGATCCAGCCATTGTCTTCATTGCTGAAGAAAGACATCACGTGGTCGTGGACTCCCGAACATCAGTCAGCCTTTAATGCAGTGAAGAAAAGCTTACCGGAGGCCCCAATCCTGGCGCTTCCAGATGATGCAAAGCCATTCCACGTTGTTTGCGACGCGAGCGACTTCTGTGCACTGATGCAGTTCGACGACGAAGGTCGCGAACGCGTCGTGAGCTACCAATCCAGACAGATGAAGCCCGCTGAGAAGAATTATCCGGTCCACGACAAGTAACTCCTTGCGATGCGCTACGCACTGATCAAATTCAGAGTGTACTTACTCGGTGAGCAGACATTCGCGATCTACACAGATCACGCGTCGCTGCGAACAGCGACGAAGAGCCCTCATCTCTCTCAGCGCATGGCACGATGGCTGTCATTCTTCTCCGAGTACAACTTCGTCGTTCACTACAAGCCAGGCAAGAATAACATCCTTGCGGATGCCCTATCTCGGCGCCCCGATTACGATCCACGCCGAGATTTGGGTCGTCAGTCACTTGAAGACGCGGACGACGACGAATTGGACTGCGCCACATGTGTGGCTGCAGGTGTGAGCCTGATGACGGCGGTATCTCCAATACTTCCCCTGCGGGAAGAGATCTCTGCCGCGTATCGAGATGACTCGATATATGCCGGTATCCTGGAACACCTTCGCACACCAAGTGATGCCACGCTAAAGACACTGAGCCGCTCCACGCGCGACCAGATTCACAGATACCAACTTGACGGTGATCTACTGATGTACAGTGTCGATCGATTCGATGCTCCTCGCGTCGTTGTCCCCAACGACCCCGATCTACGCGCAAGAATTATACACGAATTCCATGACACTCCAGTGGGGGGCCACTTTGGCCGTGAGAAGACTTTCGCAGCGGTATCCCGCGACTTCTACTGGCCTCACCTATACAAGTGGGTGCGCAAGTGGGTCCGCTCCTGCGAAACTTGTCAACGCGTTAAGCCGTCACCGTCATCGCAAGCTCCGCTGCGTTCTCTCCCTCTGGCGACAGAGGCGTGGCGCTCTGTGTCAATGGACTTCATATTCGGTCTCCCACCCGATACTGACGGTCGTACGGGTGTTCTGGTCTTCGTGGATCGCTTTAGCAAGATGTGCCATCTCGTTCCGGTTCCGGACTCAATCACCGCGGCCGATACCGCGGTGCTCTTCATCGACGCTGTCTTCCGACATCACGGCCTTCCTGAATTAATCGTCTCTGACCGCGATCCCCGATTCACATCGGCGTTCTGGACGAAACTCTTCGACCTCCTGGGCACCAAACTCCTCATGTCGACGGCGGCGCACCCGGAGACTGACGGGCAAACGGAACGCGTCAACCGCGTGCTAGAAGATGTTCTGCGCAGTTATGCCCCGTCCTTCGAGAATGGAGTTCCTTCCTGCCTCATGCGGAGTTTGCACTCAACAATGCCGAGCACGCGTCGACGGGATTGACTCCGTTTTTCGTCAACAACGCGCGTCATCCACGTGTCCCCGCACAACTTGCTGTGGGCCAACCCACGGCGACTGATGGCTTCACTCTGGAGGGGGAGGAATGTGATAACCCTGCCCAACCGGTTCCGATACTGGTTCAACCACCGGTTTCCGGTGAGACAGCGGTTCTGCCGTCTACGAGTACAGCTACTCCTGCAGTAGACATCAACGCGGTGACGCGTTTACAGTCGAAGAAGATCCTCGCACCCGCGCAATCCACGTCGTCGCCGTTAGTTGACTGGACACACCGAACGCTGATCGCTCCAGCACAGCCACACTCGACTGTGGCTAACTACGCGCCGAAACCCCCAGCACGACCCGCTGACAAGGCAGCGGTATCCGACTTTGTCCTTCATCGTCAATCGGCTACCCGATTCGTCCGTGACGCGCTACAACTCGCGGTTGACAAGCAGAAGGAAAACGCTGACAAACGTGGCCGCAAGAACACAAGTGCATTCAAGATTGGTGAGCGGGTATTACTCTCAACGGATGGAATTCGTACCTCTGCTATTACGAACCTAGGCGCGAGCAAACTCGCGCCGCGCTACATTGGGCCATTCAAAGTACTACGAGTTATGGGTGATGCCTACACGCTAGACATTCCTACGTCGCTACGACTACACCCGACGCTCTACGTCGGGCGACTTAAGAAGTATCTTCCCGCGATGATCCCGGAGGCGGAGCAGGAGCATGCGTTGAGCGGCCCTCGCGATGAGCCTGTCGAGCCAGCGTCCCATCTGTCCCAGTTCCCCGCTTGCGCGGAAGAGCTCCACCCCTCGGTCCGCCAAACACCTGCGCCTCCAGACTACGCAGTCGCTGCAAGAGCTCACGATTCGACTGCCGCAGACTACTCGCCGTCGCCTCGGCGTTCCGAGAGCTCTCAGCCGCGCGCTCGGCCTCCTCCTGTGCGTCCCGAGAAGTGTTCAGCGCCTGCTCAACGTCGTCCTGGTCAAACCAGGTCGCGTCGAATTCCACCGCGACGATCCTCCGCCCATCGTTGACTCGAATGGAGATACGTGCTGGATTGTGGACCGTATTGTTGATCACGAAGATCCCTCCCCGCGCGCGTCACTCGACCAAGTCGTCAGCTCAACACGCGGCTCCCGCCGCGCGGAAGTATAAGGTACGATGGCTCGGGTTTCAACCGGCTGATGATACGTGGGAGCCTCGCGCCAACTTGCTTCGTGACGTTCCTGATGTCGTCCACGACTACGACTCCAGCCTCGAGTCAAACGCGGCCGCGAGCGACCTCGCGGCGATCGAGAGCGCGATCGACTACGTGCCCTTCGAGACGTCGAATGCGCAGGAGACGGGCTCCGTCACGAACGCTGTCGGCGCGAGCCGCCGCGAATAGCCGCTTGGGTGAACTCGGAGAGTGAGCGCTTATACTTCTCGATCCAAGCGTGTTCGGTCGGCATGAGCGGATACTCGACAATATGCTGATCCCACTCAGCTTGCGTCGGGCGTCGCCCGATGTCACACGAACTGCAGCCTTCGCGTACGTTGACATAGCACAAACGGTCTTCGGTCCAAGCGTCGTCGCAGAATTCAGGCGCAGATCACCGAGTGAATGCTCGGCTTGTAAGGCTTCGCGATCACCGAGCCAGCCGACGACACTTTCCTCCAGCCTCATGCATCCGATTCCACCGTCGGGATGAATGCGCACCATGATCTCTGCAAAGCTTCGTACGTCGCGCCCGTCGAGTGTTTTGTTCCGGAGACGCCTGAAGCGCCGAAAGTGGTCCTGCATGGTGTCCAACGCGTCCGGGGTCACCGCCCCGGACAAGTCGTACAGCGCCCACGGCTTCATATCCTCGTTCATTACGCCGGGCCGAACCCCAAGTCGACTCACGCTCTCAGGTGCGATATCAGCGGTCCACCCATTGTTCAGCGTCGTCGCCGACGCTGGAGCCGTCCGCGTTGTTCCGCTTCCTGCCTGGTTCGCCGCCCCCGTCTGCTGCGCCATGTTGTTCTCGTCCGCGCAAGTTGTATTGTGCTGCTCCTGGGCTTCGCAGGAGCTCCAGCCCGTCAAGTTCTCAAGCGTTCTCTTCTCCGCCATTTCCCAGTTTTTCCCGATTGTTCTCCGAAGCGCACCCCCGTTAGGTGATTGCTGTCTTAAGAGGGGGGTGATGTAATGGGCTCTCCCAAGTTGCATATGTAGGTAGTTTTATAGGTTCTTTGTAGTGGTTCACACCATTACATAAGTAGGTAGATTTGCATTACAAAAGTAGGTGCAGCAGCACACGAGTAGCGCGTGCTGAACTGCCGTCACCTCATTGGTTGAAATATGGGGAGCCAGACCCATAATCAACCAATAAGGAGTTGACGTGTATTTGAGTGGTCAGGGCAAGCTGCCCTGGACCTAAATAAAAACAGAGTTGATTTTCCTTCAGACTAAGTACTTGGTTTCAGTATCACTGAACTTGTACGCTTCCTCATCACTACGTGTAAGCAAGTAACGGACACCCCAGGCCCGTTACACGCATCCTATTGAGCGTGGAGCGGGACGGCAACATCGCTTCGTCAAACGCCATGATGACCCGCGGCGTATATCCAGAAGCAAACCGATCTTGAAGTGCGTCTACGACAGGCCTTAGCTTCCACGCGCGATCTGTCGCCGCTCTTGGGTCTCTATTACTGCTGAAATGCAGATTCTGGGATATATGCATGAATCTGTCGCGCGTCATAAAGCGCCCAAAGCATCCGCGAGGAATGGCGCCTTCCTCTCTCGTTTTCCAATGGTTTGCTAGCTTTTCCTTGTTTGGAACTACGGATCGGGCTAGCAATAGACCAATGAAAACGCACAGCTCTCGCGTCTCGATAATTGTACCCTTCGGATATCTTCACGGATTTCTTCTACCGACTTGGCTTTGAACTGTGGATGCTTCAATTCCCTAGCGAGCTGCTTCGCATGTGTTCCTTGTACACATTCATCAAGACTAGCTTCGAAGTAATCGCTGGATTCAGCAGCAATATCCTCTTACAACTGCGGTTGTAGGTAATAGAAGAAAGCTCCGGAAGGGGTTGCAGCTGCGGCCAAGGCTTGTGGGGTAGGTCCGGACGCACCATCGTACAGTTGCGGGTAGTCCTGCCGCAATGATTCAGGCGAACGCGACTCATAAGGCTCTTGTAGATACGTATAGGGTGTATGCGTCGTCAAATCCGACCAGCCATTAGCGCCGAGCTCCTTCAAATACGCATCTGGTACTACACCCGATGCAATGCCATCAACACCACCGAGTGCTGAGAGTAATCGTCGTCAAATTGCATTTCCGGGGGCGCAGGTTCTTGTGCCACGTCATCATCAATGGCATCGACAAACTGGTCGTCTTCGTCTCCATCATCGCTCTCGGCGTCTGACTCAAATGTTGCAAATATGCTGGGGTCATCGTCATTTACAATCTGATTCACATCTTCACATACAGCAAATAGCAACGATACAAGTTAGTATCCCTGTATATCATTTACATACAAGCTACCAGACAGACCATTATGCCGCGTGTCTTCCTTCGGTTCTTCTTCCACCCCAGATGTCCCCGGCTGACCCACACTGCTTGTAGACTGATTAGATTCTTTGTTTATCTCAACTTGATCACCAGGTTGGTTGTCGGCTTCGGGATGATCCGACGCATTGCTGCTCAATTCGGCTTCTTCAAAGTCTGGATCCAAGTTTCTTTGACTAATCGGAGAGTCTTCAATACAATAAGACGCCACATACAAAATCAGTTCAGTCGAAACGTGTATCATACCAGATATTCCTTTCGATGGGATGTTCACTATTGCCGCTGGAAGAAAGAGCTGTGGCCTTGGGTGAATCAGCTTGTAGTGGGCTCTTTGGTGGACGTGAAGCAAGATTCGGTGGTGTACCGGAAGACGATGTGGGGTCTTGTGTGACGGACTTTCGGCACATAGACGAACTGGGTGGTCTCGAGAAGTTGCCGTTGAGCCGATGCGAGTGAATGTAACGGGGGACTGCCATCGGATGAAGAAGGATTCGAATCTAACTTTCAACATACACGATTAGCAAAACGTAAACGTGTATCATACAGCTCACAGTACACGTACGCTTCGCTGTCACAGGTTTGGCAGCTTTCGCAGCGCTTCGACGTCGAGGAGCAGACCAAAACACTAATAAAGTGACTATACACACGTTAGTGTATGAGTAATCCCACGATGGAGGGGGCAGCAGCACCAAAATAGTGGCGGATTACAAGCACCATCTGTATCGTAGTGTATCGCTTTAGAAACGAACCCATGCAAGATGTGAAGGAACTTCACACCAACTCAAACGACAAAAACACTACGTTCACTGAGATAGCTCAGTGTCATACAATCGCAACTACACTAGTAATGGCACTTAGATCCCTATATGTGTAGTTGTGACTTAGAACGGAAAGAACGTAGCTATCTTCAACCGCTGAAGATCCGCATTTGCGACTTAAATGTAAATGTATTGTATGGAAGCATTGTCCACGTGTGGCCGCACTGGTTTTAAAGATTCAACTGTCGGTGTCAATTCGGTTCGAATAGCTTCATCCGAAAAAACTGGATGAATCTGCTCTTGGCTGCATCACGGCCGTCGTTGCAGCCGACAATGACTACAAAATGAGGGACGGAGTGGAGGTTGTGGTCAACATGGTCCAACTTTCTTTTTCGTCAACGACTTAATTAAGTAGATCTTACTGCAGATCCAATCATACGCTATAATAACCCCACCGAGACGTATCAAGACTACAATTTGCCGGATGAACTGCAAACCAAACGAGCGACAAAGGGGACGACGACGACCTGGATAATACTAAACAAAAATGCAAACGAATATGATGATTTGAATTAAGTAAGTGAGGAGATCGATGTGTTGGACGGAATATTGGAGCTATTATAGCACTTCCTCGGTCGAGGCTGCAGCCTCATCAGCCTTGCAGTCGTAGCGTAGTAGTTGCGGTGAATCTTCAAGCGAGCTGTTTATAGGACCAGAAGTACACTTGTTTATCGAGGAGAGCAGGTCGACAAGGCGCACTTTTGACGTACCGGATGCAGTTGTTTTGAGCGTTGATCTGCTTGAGACGGAAGCAACCGTCCAGTCCGCCAAGTTCCTGAATCTGGCAGGTCGTCAAAGAAAGAATCTTAAGTTGAAATTCTACTGCACAGATGACATACCTGGTTGTCATTGATCCAGAGCACCTCGAGGTTAACGAAAGCATCGAAATTCGCAATTTAGTCGATGCGCTTATTGTCCATGTACAGCTCGGTGCAGCTTTTCACATATTCGTGATTCTTGATGGGCAGCTCCGCATGGGGATCCGAAAGCCGCCAATTTCGTGTCATGTTAGAGTTCGAAGAGCGATCAAACTAAAGTTGTTGATTAAAAAATGACGTTGACGAACAGATTTGACAATTTTATTTTAAAAAGAACCCCGTTATCTTAAACGACACTTCTGCTCTAATTAGCTGGTACGTGGTGGAGATCATAGTTCTTTTAACCAGGCTTGAACTTAGCCACGTCTGTCTAACGAGCTCAACGACCCGACCAAGCGCCACGGAGAAGCTACCGAGCCTGGTGCCAGCACACGCCAGATACACGCAGCAGCTCGTCCAGTCGCGGGTCCAGCACCTCCAAAGGCGTACAGATAGACAGCTTGAGACACTCTTCAAGCTGCTGTGGGCCCACATCCACTCGGAACAAATCCGCCGGAAGCGCCAACGTGCGAGCCACATCGGCACCAGGGCCACGTGAGTCATCAAACAGCAGGCGAGATCACAGCAAATCACGTTCGCAGTGTTGAGCAGCAACGCGGAACAACTCTCGCGTGAAGAGCTGAGCTTCCTGCAGAGCCCGCTCCGCCGGTAGCACACCATTGCCCACGCCTAGTTCCGAAGGGGTACTCTTGAGTAGCAGAAGCTGTACAGCGTCCTTGTCCAGAGGCTTGCGTGTCAGCGGTTGCGTTGTGAGGACCAGCGAGTATCCGCCCAACGGCTCCACCTTACGTGTCGACAGAGTTATCGTGGACGGAGGTCGATGGAAGAAGCTTCCTGATGACGAGTGACACACGACTGCATCCGGTGTACCAAACTGCAGTAGGTCTAACACTTCGTAGCGTGAGCCATGACATGCGATGTATCGGAGTAAGATCTGCACCATGATCAGCTCCAAGCAGTTGGATTGCAACGACGCAGGTTGCAGCTTTACTGTCACCATGCGGATCACACAGTCGCGCCAGAGCAGCGACAAGGGTGCTGCAGATGTTGACGCGGTGTTCGCTTGAGCTGGGCCCAAATGATGTACCAGCTGCGGATGCGGTTGTTGGCAGCTCGTCGAGTAAATCTCGCTGCAGCTCGCGAAGGCGGTCGATGGCCATCACTGCTACGTGGTGCAGGTGTCGAGGTAGCTCTGACATCGTTCGTCCTTGTCAGTGCGGTGCTCTTGCTGCTGGGATACCTGGCAGGTGACGACGTTGGGGCTGGTGTACTGAACTTCTTGGGTTCCTCCGGCGGGTCCGGAAAGGCTTGCAAGAATCATTGAAGCCCCTTGACGATGTTCTGGAACGTGGACGCTTTCTTCCAAGGCAGCGGTGGGGTCACGACAAGCGCATCATCCTCACTAAGATGCTTGCCTACACTGTGACCGTGTCCATTCTCTGCGTCGTGGAAGTCGTGCGGCGCGTCAAGCCACTGCAGAAGATGTTGCTGGAAGTAGCTGATGGTGAACCCGTAAATGAGAGCTTGGGTCTGCAGTTGAGCACGTAGCCACGACGCTACACTCTGCACTCTTGCTCCAGACACTCCAGTCGTCTTCTTCCCAGTCTTGGCAGCCAAACGATTCTGGAAACGCAGATCTTGCTGCTCCAAGTCGTGCAAACTCACAAGTACCGCAGTCAGCAGCACGCCTCGATTGTCGCATTTCACCTCAAGCACCACGATGGAGAGAGGGTCATTGCTTGCACTATTCGTCCACCCAGCCGCTTCCGCTGCAGCTCTTTCCGGGTGGTAAAAGTACTCGGAGAAGCCATCTTTGCCAGGTATGTCGCTCTCGTTTGCTGCGCTGGGGTCCGCAGGGAAGGCACGTGCATGGCTCCTGCTGGTAGCTAGCGTCCGAAGACGTCGGAAACCAAGCGTACGTAAGTGCACTGCGTACTCTTTATAGAATTCACTCGCCACTTCAAAACGCAGTGGCTCCAAATTCGCAGCCACCTGCTGCTTGATACCACGAACGTCAGCTCCTGTACCGGCGTCCATGCTGAGTACAGTGTGCTCGATGTACAGCTTGGCCACTGAGCAGTCGTCTTGATCAAACACGAACTCGCGCTTGTAGCTAAGCAAATGAACCAGATCCATGCACGACTGAAGAGCACGTAAACGCCCACTGATGATCCCGTTCTCGTCGCCGTCAGACAATCCAATCACCTCAGCCGCTACCCATCGCTCCACAAACGCAGCTCGGAATCGTTGATGCAGCAAGAGATGTCCACTCTCCACTAAATGCATCACGACATCCTTCGCGACGGGCTCCTCCATCTCTTCATCCGCACGCATCGACGCGAGCTTCTCCAGCAGGTTCATGCCCACTGTGTGGCTAGTTGATTGCGTCTCGAATGCTTCCCATCGCATTTCCAGAGCTGCGCAATAGTATGGAAGAGGAGTTCGATTCTTCTTGGGATTGTCTTCATCTTCCTCGAGCTCGATCAAATGTCGCAGCTGGCCTGTCAAACTCGTTGCCCACCGCTCAGTGTTGCCAGGGAATAAAAAGCGAGGCCCCCAAACACACTACAATCGCTTCTTCCACGAACTGTGGATACGACCCGGGCCCGCGTCGCTAGTGTTTCTTGGCAATGCAGGAGCTGTAGTTACTGCCAACCCTGTCAACGAAGATGAAGACGACGACGACCCCAACTCGGAGAGATTAGTACCTCTCGATCCTCTTCGTACAGGGCGATTCGCTGTGTTGCCGTGAACATTCTCCATTGTATCGATGCTCCACTCACAATGCTGTTAATTTTTAAATTTCTTAGATGCTGGGAAGCTAAGCTCTAAACTATTTTAATAGTAGTGGCTAACGATATCTATTTGTGGAGAGAAAAGATTTTTGCGAAACGACACTTATTTTTGGTGTGGTGTACTGCTCTTTCTTTTGGTGACCCTTTCTGCGTCTGTGGCGCTTCACATCCTATTTTTTGTGTTCGCTAAAAAAAATAGAGTGCTTTGGATGGCTCTCAGTTTAGGGCCACTGTGGCTCGTGTTAGGCTAATAACCTACCTAAGAAGACACGCCCTTTAACTCGTGTAGGCCTCGTACATCCGTAGTATGATCAGTAGGCGGTAGAGCACCTCGCTAGCACTTCGCCTTGCTGTCGGGTCCAAATCCACGCACGAGTGACCTAAATGTACAAGTTCCAATGGAACGTTACGAGAGAATATCGATGCGTAGTTGACCTGAGGAGACCAACTCAAGGATGGCAGAAGAGGAGACCTGCTGTCCGTTTGAGGACCACATCTCGCGGTACGGCGGCGAGTCGAGCTCGGATAGAACCATGCCGAGCGAAAAGATGTCGACACTATTAATAGCGTCGTAATGTTCACCTATCATGACCTCGGGTGCCATCCACAGAGCAGTACACACACCGGCAGTCATTGTATCGACACTCCATTGTCTCGATACCCCCGAAATCCGTGATCTTTGCGTCCAACTTGGAGGTCACTAAAATGTTCATGGACTTGAGGTCTCGGTGGAGCACGGTCGGGTCAAGCGAGTGGAGATAAGCCAGTGCATAGGCCACTTGGAGAGCAATTCGGGTTTTGTCCAAGTTGAATCCGTGCGGTCGCTTTTCGGTCTCATAATGTTTGAGCAACGAGTGCAAGTCGCCGCCATCCATGAAATCTGAGACGGCACACAGATCCGTGAGGGAGTCCCAAGCCACACCGATGAAGTGAACGATGTGCGGATGCTCGACACTCGCCATCATCTTGATCTCCGCGAGGAAGGAGCTCACTTCATGGAGTTTCTTTCTCTTCTCAGGGAGAAGCCGCTTGATGGTCACTTGTTCGTCACAGTAGGTGCCTAAAGACACTTGGCCATGTCCTCCGTAGCTGATGAGCCTTGTCGTCGTGATCTTCTCGAACGGAAAGCGCATAGCAGTGAGGTCCTCGTTTTCTCACAGTGCTATCGGTGCAGAGGCACCAGAGGAGTTACAGCTGTCCAGGTTTCTGGTACGAAAAGGAGAGAGACCAATGGCTGGGGGTCCGAAGTCGGTTCGTAGTAGTTACATGGATACTCGAAGGGCGTTAGCTCTGCCTCGTGCTTGTGTCGACAGCACCAGAAACCCAGCAGTCCAAAAAGAATAGTGAGCACGAGAGCGTGGCCCCAACGATGGCTCCCGCACTTAACCCTGCGAATTCAAAGTTAGTGACATAAGAAGACGATCAAAACGACAGAGTGCACCTTGCCTTTCTTCTTCGTCTTGGTGGCCCTTGCTTTCGCTAGAGTCATAGCTACTGTTAGCGTAATTGGAGCTCACCTCTTCTCTGCTGACTGTTCTGGTGGTGCCAATGCTTGAGGATGCGGTCGAGTTGGGGGCTAACGAGATATAGTCAGTGAAGGATGAGCTTCCAAGAGCACTTGAAACGTCGAAAGGTGGTGGTGTCGGTGACGGCGTTCGCGTGGTTAGCTATTTTTGGGGTCGTGTACGGGTAGGGCCTGATAATTGGGTCAGGCGGGTTTCCTGACGGCCCTACCAAACACAGGACCAATTGCTAAGCTACATATTGAAGTGAAAGATACGAAGCTAAGCAGATGCTTAGACCACGATGGTCTGCGCGGCACGAGGTTGGTCGGCTTCAGTGTCGCCTTCATCGGCATCACTGTCATTGCTGATCACACCTGCGCCCAAATTGGTAGCAGCAGCGTCCTCTTCGCTGCTAGTACCAGAGACGCCCTCGTTGTCATCATCACTGTCGACGTCTACAGCCTCGTCATCTTCTTCACTGCTCGATTCTTCTTCTTCTGTAGGAAGATCCTGTTGGAAATGGAACCTGACCCAATAATCAGGCCTGACCTGTATACGACCCCGTTAAAATTCTACCGTTCGCGTTCGCGTTGGTGCTGCTGTCGTAGCCCTCGGTGGTGCAGTTGTAGTTACCGATGGTGTCGATGTTGCGGATTGGTGGACAAAGACGCTGTCGCTTTGCTTCCACTCCGCTGTCGCGCTAGTAGCTGCAGCAGGCGAAGACGTTGAAAATCTCGTGATTGTATCTGCTGTTGCTGTAGCAGCGTCAGCAATAGTGTTCACTGCAGAAGTTCTTGTATGCGAGTTCCAATGCAGAAATGTTCCGAAACCAGCAGCAATAGACTCAAACCTGGTGCGGGTCTTTAGTTTTCGACGCTCGGAATTGGCTCAAACTGATCCCGGTAGAAGTCAACCTCGTGACTTTATCGCCTGTCGAGAAGAAGCTTGGTCAAGGATTTAGTGACCCTGGCTCTGTATTCATAAGTTAATGAGTATGACGGCCAACCTTTCTAGGTGCTAAGCGAGCGACTCCAACAAACTTCACAGTTATACGCAATCGACGACACATGACGGTACACGACGCAGTCCACCTCCAGCCTGGACACTTTTCTTACAGCGTGGCATTCTCGTACATGTTCATAATGAGCTGCAGTTGGTACAGCACTTCGCCAGCATTGGGTCTTGTATCAGCATCGAGATCCACGCACGAGTGAGCTAAATCAACCAGAGCCTGTGGTGCGTGTGAAGAGAACTCGATCCGAAGAAGACCCAGAGATACCAACTGCAGTAGCGCCGTGTCGGGGATCACTCGACCAGAGTCCGTCTCCTTGGCAGCGGCGTACGGCAGCACATGCGAGTCCAGCTCCGACAGAACGACACCAAACGAGAAAATGTCCGCACTGGAGCCATACCGCTCTCCCATCATCACCTCAGGCGCCATCCATAGAGACGTTCCAACTCCAGCGGTCATTGTCCGGTCGCTGCTCTCTCGAGAGACGCCAAAGTCCGTAATCTTGGCCTCTAGATCCTCCGTCAGTAATATATTCTTGGACTTGAGATCGCGATGAAGTACTAGCGGGTCCAGTGAGTGCAGATACGTAAACGAGTGCGCGACGTGCAAGGCGATACGCGCCTTCTCCAGGTCGAAGCCATGCGGACGACACTCGTGATACTCAAAGTAGTTGAGTAGCGTTCGTAGATCTCCACCTTCCATGTACTCGGCAACGGAGCAGAGATCCGCCAGAGAGTCCCAAGCCACGCCGATTAACCGGACGACACGCGGATGTTCCAGTGCAGCCATGATCTTGATTTCCGACAAGAAGCTGTTGATCTGAGCTAGTGTTTTTCTCTGTTCCGGGAGAAGTGTCTTTATGGCCACGGCTTCTCCACGATACGAGCCTCGGTAGACCATTCCGTACCCGCCTTTGTTGAGTAGCTTTCCTCTAGTGAGTTTTTCCGTTGGGATACGCATTGCAGTGATGATATCGTCTTCCCACATCCCACCTTGTGCTGCTGTAAGGAACGATGTGGAGTATCCGCCGTGTTCTTGACGCTGACCACCGGTGTACGGACCAGTTGAAGAGGTGTCGAGACGAGTATTGACGGTGTCTTCTTCTGCCCCAAGGCGCTTAGAATCACTGATAATAAAGTGACGCTGCAGTGACGCATTGGCCTCTTCTCTCGTTTTTCTGCGTCGAAAGACCACGAGCCCGATGCAAAGCAGAACTATCGACACAGATGCCAATGCGATAGCGACGATCATCCAGGAATCCCCTGCAAGTCACGAAGCGAGTTAGTGCGTCCTGTGAACGATCATATTCCAATACAGTTCGTGTACCTGGTGCGCCAGCATAAACTTCTGTGTCTTGACTCGAAGAAGTCAATCCACCTCCATTCTGCGAATCCCCGCTGCGCCAGTCTTCAAAACTACCGCCAGTACTACCCGAACTGGAATTTGTGGAGATGTCTGTGTCCACTGATGATGAAAATGAAGCTGCAAAGGTGTCTGCCCCCGCGACACTTGGAGCTGAAGTCTCTGGAGTTGTCGTTTCAATCGCCGCACTGGAACTACTTGGTTGCGGTGTTGGTTCGGTAGATTCCGGGGTGTTTGTAGGTGTCGGCGTTGTAGTCGAAGTGGCTGCGGTAGGGCGGGGCGTTCTGGTTACTGGCGTTTTAGTTGTTGGGGCTGGAGCCTTTGTTGTTGGCGTTGGTGGCTTCGTGGTAGGGGTTGGCGCTCGAGTAGGCGCACGAGTAGGCGCTTGGGTAGGTGCTCGTGTTGCTGGCGCCGGTGTAGCTATAGGGGACGGAGTAGTTGCCGCGGTAGAATCTCCACCCCCAAGCACAGTGTCCACGAGAGACCCAATAAGCCCCTGCAGGTTTCGCGTCTGAACTACTTCCCACTGCAGACACAACACAGGCCATTACTTTAGTTTGAGTCCATACTCCTTTTAGAAACCAAATTCGAGCTGTTCGCGCACCATTTTCAGACGAGCAAGTTCGCTGTTTTGGCAATCGCTCCCAGCGAGCGCCACTGCCGTGCAAAATGGCTAACTGGTATTTGAGACTCTCCGCATGGAGTTGAACCGACTACTGCAAAGGTGCGGCCTAGCATGGTGCTCTTATCCCCTAGTTCCTTACTTTTTGTGTGCACTGATCTTCTCGTCATAATCATTTTGATGACCACGACGACACGCAGCTGTGGCGCTTACCAGCCTTGATACTGTTACATGTACAATAGTGATGCTGGTAGACAGAGAGCAGAGAGCGTCTCCGCATATGACTCGACGGCTGGAGACTCTCGCAATGAAGGATATACAAGCACCTGTAATACGCAACGGAACACGAAGAGCAGAAGGTTTTCCCTTTGATTTTTACGTTTTTGTGGAGTTACTTTCCTTCCAGGAGCTGTACGATCTGTTGCGCAGTGAGACGATTTGAGGGCTCTTGTTGACAGCACGCTTCGCCAAGGTGACGGATGAATTGCGGACATTCAGCACTGAAGCTTGGCCGCAGTCGTCCGTCCTTCACCAACGCTAAAATCTCAGATAACTCCATGTCATCCCCGCTCTTTGATCGAGCGTCAAAGTAAGGCACCTCGCACGTGTCCAGCTCGGTGAGCAGCACTCCGAACGCATAAATGTCGGCTGCAGGTGAGTTAGGAGCACCATTGAGCACTTCAGGCGCCATCCACAAGGCCTGACGAGAGTTCTCTATCGTTGGACTCGTCTCTTTTGACCCGCAACTTGCCAACTTCGCTTCCAGCCTGTCTGTGAGTAGCAATTCTTCGCGCAGATAGCCTGGAGGATAAATTTCTGAGCGTGAAGATAAG